TTATTATATTAACAGTTGGGATAGATTATGATATTTTAAGTTGCATCTATAACAAATTGATAATCAAGAAGAAATCACGTGATTTTTGTAGATGATGAAACTCGAGTTCTAATCTTGATCTTGACAACATTTTTATTTACTCAAACAAATTTTCGAAGTAGACGCTTGTGATTTTCTTATTTTCATTTTTAGACTTTGGTGTTAGATTTGGCATTTTATCGAGAAGGACTTAAAAAACAAAAAAAACCGTAGTATTCGACCAAAAAAAAAAAAAAATTCGAGAAGGACTTCAAACTAAAAGAGTTTAATTAGCTTAAACATTTTTTTAGAAAAACTTGGGTTTAACTGATAAAAACGAAATCTGATTTGTTCTGTTTAAAAAAATAGTATGAATCTGATCAAAATTAGTAACTAAAATGATCCAGAAATTTAACGGCATCTTAATTTGGTCTTTTTTTATGAGAGCAATTAAAGGGGAAAAACAAAAGGAACATGAATCACCAAAATTATCACCTTTCTTTATTGCGCCGAAAAAATCAACAAGTCTAAACAAACACATCAACGTTTGGATCCCATGAGTCACTCCTATAATCAATGGATACTGTTTAGTAGTATTGACGAACATGCGAGAGATCCAAATTCAGAGGCGGATTCGTAACTGCTTGCTTCTCCAGATCCAAAGCTCCCTGCTCGCTCGTCTTTTAGAAGATCCGATCATCAATCGATTTTTGTTTTTCGTTTCCGGTAAGTTTCCCGAACATCTTCTCGCTCATCTACTTCTGGAATTCGGGAAAAAAAAATCACGAGTCTCAGATTTATGATTTCAGCGAAACCTTGGATAGATTTTGGGTTTAAGGGTATAGTTTCTTTGTATTTGTCTGTTTAGTTTGTTTTCCCGATTTGGATGAATTCCGAGTGAAAAATAAAAAGATCATACAAAGCTCAGTTTTTGCCATTTCTCGTCTTTTCAAGGATCTTGAACTTCAACAACAGAGGAAGGAGCTTTCTTTTGTTGAGAGAGTTGATGTTATCTCTGGCATTCAGTCTATAAGATGTTTGGTGGTAAAAGTTACATACTCAGAGGGAGTGTATCACTTGCCTTGATTATCCTCATTCTCTTGATGATAATACTCCTGGCTTCCGAGGAAAACCCGCTTCGTACTTCTTTGTTCGAAGTAANACGTCAATTTTCAGCTTNTTCTTCAGGTATTTTGCATGCTTTTCCCAGCTTTTATCATTCAGGTTATGGACATTAGAGTCTTGATTTGTGTTACATTTTGGTTTTCTATTCAGTTTGTAACTTTGCAAAGGGGAAATGGGTTGAAGACCGGAAGCGACNGTTGTATTCTGGTTTTGAATGTAAACAGTGGTTATCAACCATGTGGTCCTGTAGAATAATGGGCAGACCCGATTTCTCGTTTGAGGGTTACCGGTGGCAACCAGAAGGTTGTGTGAATATGTTGTAGATTCACCTTTTTGAGAAGGTAAGAGCAGAATTTTCTCCAATTTCAGTCTAGATTCTTTCGCTGTGAAATATAGTCAAGTTTCTGCCTCTCCTTGGTTNACTGGGAATTTCAAGCACCCTACAAGTGATTTTCGAGTAATGTGTTTTCTTGTACCATCTTTTAATATCACAAGGCCTTCTTATGTAATGTGATGTATATAGATTGGGTGTTTGTGTGAATATGTTGTAGTGGAGCAAGTTGTTAAACGTTTCTCAGATTGCTTACTGCAGCTTTGTTTTTATTATTAGAATGNAGAACAAGACGATAGCATTTATAGGAGACTCNTTGGGACGGCAGCAGTTTCAATCCTTGATGTGTATGGCCACTGGTGGTGAAGAGAGCCCAGAGGTTCAAAACGTGGGATGGGAGTACGGTCTTGTTAAACCCAAAGGCGCTCTCCGTCCTGATGGTTGGGCTTATCGGTTCCCAACCACAAACACAACGATCTTGTATTATTGGTCAGCNAGTTTATCAGATTTGGTACCGATGAACAACACAGATCCACCTAGTATNACTGCAATGCATCTGGACCGTCCACNAGCATTCATGAGAAACTACCTTNACCGTTTCGATGTGTTGGTTCTAAACACCNGTCATCATTGGAACAGAGGTAAGATCGAAGGGAATCATTGGGTNATGCACGTAAATGGAACACGGGTCGAAGGGGAATATCTCAAGGATATCAGAAACNCTAAGGATTTTACAATACACAGTGTTGTGAAGTGGCTTGACGCACAGCTTCCATTTCATCNGCGGTTGAAAGCTTTNTTTAGAACGATTTCTCCGAGGCATTTTAAAAACGGAGATTGGAATACCGGTGGAAACTGTAACAACACGGTCCCATTGTCTAGAGGAAGCGAAATCACAGGCGATGATGGATCGATTGACAAAACAGTAGAGAGTGCTGTGAATGGGACGAGGATCAAGATTCTTGACATAACTGCACTTTCTGAGCTAAGAGATGAAGCTCATATCTCAGGGTCTAAACTCAAACCCAGAAAACCGAAAAAGGCGAGTAATGTGACTTCGACTCCAACTCCAACGGTCAATGACTGCTTGCATTGGTGCTTACCCGGGATCCCAGATACATGGAATGAACTTTTCATTGCTCAGATTTGAAGTAATCTTCATCATCACACTCAAAAGGTAGTTCAATGGATTGGCTCTGTTTATTCTTTGTTAGAAAGGATTATTATTTTTTTACATTCTTTCTGGAAAAACAGAAAACAATGGTTCCAGTTGAAGTGCTAGTTTTACAAATAGGGATACTAGAAGGTTTCTCCTTAGTGGTAATGAAACTTGTTCTACAGTCAGCGTTTGCGGTTTGTGCGATTCACGTTTGATAACTCTGCATTGGACTGATATACATTTACAGATATGTGATTCTTCAGATTATCACACTTGTATGTTATGGTTACACAATCTGGTTTTATAGAGAAACATCGATTCAACAAAAAAAACCGGTAGCGTAGACGTGGTTATGGTTACACAGTTGAACAAAAATATGGTACACAGTTGATTCAACAATAACTGGTTGAACAAAAACCGGTTTCGATTCAACAATATGGTTACACAGTTGAACCC